AACATTCCGAGTTTTATTGTAAAAACAGTATGACAACATTAAATGAAAATATTGAAGAGACACTGTTTGTATCCACTGCCTTAATTAACAAATAATTTTATTCCTGTGGCTTTCCTCCATGTACATATATAACACACACATACAAGCAGGGACCACTCAACTTTGCCTTCTGGCAACAATAAAATAAATTTTTTTTTCCTTTTGGATCTCTCATTTAGTTTATTCAAGTTGGTCATATAAGCTTCAAGGTTTTCAAATTCTAAAACAAAGAATGAAGATGCCCCAAATTTCATAATACAACAATGAGGACATTCAGAGTCCTTTGTTAAAACTCAAAACAAAGACCACTCAGAATCCTTTGTGAAGGAGGATGAGAAATAAGTAAATGAAAGAAAGGAACAGTTCCCCCACAAATCCATCTTTGCATCCTGGATGCCTGGCTGGAGCATTGGCCTGTGGTCAGTTCCTGAGGGCTAAAAGAAATAGCATTTGAAATATGACTTTAATGTGTGTTGATAATAGTCTTAAGATATTTTGTGTGGAGACCTCCTAGTCTCTCTGAATCCACCATGCATATAAAGCCAAGTGTAACTGTTTCTCAGAAAAGCACTTGGGGATTTAGAATCCTGCAGTGTTTCTGACTATCTCTTTAAGTGATGTAATCAGTGAAAGGTAAATATGTTAACTGGGACATTCACTTCCATTCAAAGGTGCAGGATGGAGTAAGACTAATATATACATATATATATTGACTTATAGTAAGCGATAGCATTTTGAGGCTGCCTTTCCATACTAAGTTATAAATGCTGCATTTTATTTTTAAAATTTATTACTAATAAACTGTGTTGCTAGAAGCAGCATTTAAAGAGCAGACTAGAAACCTTTCATTCCACCTTGGGTCTTGGCGCTGACACAAAAACAACTCATGCTGTGCCCAAGGCGCCCATGGGAGGCAGATAATGCAGTTAGCGAACTGAGGTCACTAAGTTACCAGCAGAAAACAATTCTTCCGGCCTCCATGATAGATGACTGACTGCATTTTGCATCCCCAGTTTCCCAGAACCAGTGTAGGTGCCCCTATTGCTGGGCAAATTAAACCATTTTAACAAACACTGGGATTTCTTGCACTTGGAATTAGAACTCCCTAATTCCAATCTAATCTAAGCAGTGTAAATTAATAATTTACACATTTTGTTCTAAACCCATCCACTGATTTTTATGTGAACTACAATCACAGTAATCTTAGTTGTGATTTTTAAAAATAAATTGATATGGAATTTTACCAACAGGCTTTTTCAACAATAGCCACCAGACTGGAAGATTCCATCTATACACACCCAAACCAACAGAACCAGCCCTTTCTTGTTTAAACTACATTCTGTGAATGGTTTCAAGCTCTAGAAGGGACCTTTGGGTTGATCAGTCAGGACCCCCCCATTTCACAAATGAGGGCAGTGAGGCACAGGGAGGCCAGTGACTTGTCTGAGGTATTTGGAGGGAGGCAGAGCCCCCTGCCCATCGTAGTGGGCGGAGGCACTTTCCAGAGGTGAATCCTACAGAACATTTCTCAGGCAGAGACACACAGGCTCATATTTTGGGGATTACAACCTTAAAAACAAAAACCAACACAAACCACACTCAGTACTGAACAGAGAACTACATTTATAAAAGGGACCGACTGGCTAAAATCTTGTCACATTGAAAAGGAAAAGACAGCATTCCTAGGGTCATTGTACAAACCTGAACTCTTCGTCCATAACTATGCTTCAGTCACTTGACATTACACAACTTCACTGCACCACACTGTAAACCTTTGTTAAGTCACAAAGTTTGTCTTCTAAGTTTTATTTTAAAAATGGGTTTTTTCCCTCCTCTTGTGGCATCAACATATACTTTCTTACAACACATAAAAAGGGATTTTCCAGGCATTTTTCTCCTGTAGACATTAAAAAACTAATAACCATGTTTCAGAGCTCCTGCTTCTGAAAAGTAAAGTGCCCATGATAAGCACCTTGCGATTCCAAGTTTTTGTCTTTCCAGTCTCACTCAGATCAAGTAGTGGTCCTTTCCCCAGGAGAGACACTAGAGATGTATTCTCTTCATGGAAAAGGAGAATTGTAACAACATTTATGTTTGTCAAGTAAAAACCTGCCCTTTGCCTTGGACCTTTACTTTGGGAAAGTGGATATTCTTTATTAGACATTAACATTAGCATTGACCTCACCATCTATAGACCCTTTGTTGAACATTCTGAATTTTGCTGTTTTCCTATGTCACTTGTCATGGTGTACGACCAGACCTAATAGTTTTGAGAACATTAACAACTTTGTTATTAAACATTTAACTTGAAGCAGGCTTCTATCAGAAAGCAATCTCTTGATTATACATAGAACTGAGAACAGAGACATCAATGAGACTACTTGAGGTGGAAGTTCTAGGAGGCAATGTTTTAATTCCACACAGTGCCAGATAATCCTAGTGTTTAATATTTTAAAACGCTGTACGCTATCTAGGTTAGCATAATGTGAGATGAATATTTACTGCCAAAAAACAAAAGTAGTAGTCGCTTTGTTTCTTTTTTTGCACCATTTGATCACTAATTTCACTGAACAGAGGGCTCTCGGAATCAAGGTACCTATCTGATTGCAAATAGAAATAGCCAGCAATCTGCTGAGCGGGTAGAGCGTTACAAAGAAATTTGCCCCAATTCTTCTGAATGGGTCAGGCAGCATTTGATGGATGGTTGTCTCATCAGTAGAATCTGAACAATTTTTCCCCCTACGAACCAAATCACTTTGGTAAGAAATCTCAGAAATAACAGGATTTCTTTAGGGCTTGGTTTTAGAGATCCTTTTCCAGCGCTGGATTATAAAACAGCTGCAGCCTCTTTATTCTGAGAGATGGTAGCATTTGGAATGGCTCCTGTTCAGATCACCTTCTTTTACTAGTTGTTGTTGTGTATCGTTGAGTCCGAACAGAGCTGTAGTTGGCCCTCTAGTGGGTTTTCAGAGCCAATTAATCACCCAGGAAGAGATTACCCATCTTTCTTCCGAGGAGCAGCTGGTGGATTTGAACCAAGTATCTTTGAATTGGCAACACAACTCCTTGCCAGTAGACCTCTAGAGATCCATAAATCTTTGCACCAGCTTAAGACCTTGCTGTAGCATGGTCTAACTTGTTGGGCTGCTAACTGAAAGGTCAGCTGTTTGAATCTACCAGCCAGCCACTCCAAGGAAGAAGGATGGGCAGTCTCTTCCCAGCAAGATTGACAGATTCAGACAACTGAGCGAAGGCTACTGTGAGCCAAAACGGACTCAACAGCAGCGAGTAAAAAATGCTCCATATTTTGCCTGGGATCCTGAAATCTTTCAGCCGAGGAGTGAAAGTGGGCTCGATGAGAGGGGAAATTCCCTGGCCTGCTAAGAATAGGAGCCCAGAATAGGCAGTCCTCCTAGTTGCTCCAGACACTTGTAGAAACCTGCCAGTTCTCTCTTCCTGACCTCTTTTCTCTTTTCTGGAGTACACATAGATTTTAAAAGTCCTTATCAGTTTTCAGCCACACCAAAGTCTCTGGATCTTACTGCAAATTATTGGTAGAGATTCAAATGTATCTGTTTCCCCAGCCTCACTCCCCCAAGCATGTAAGAGAGCAGCCAATCCCAGCAGACCACAGGTGGGAAGTGGCAGCTCTGCTCAGGCAAACTTCAGCCTTGTTCTCAGGTTTTCTATGTTTCCTAGGTGGACACTTAACTCCATCTACCTATATGTGCAGTTCCAGAAGTTTCACTTTGATGACTCTGAGAGCGTGGGGAAGCCATGATTTTTGTAACATGTATACATACATACAAAGACCACTATGTCTGACCCATTGGCACTATTAAATTGTGGCCAAATGTCCATTAGAAAAACAGTCTCGAGGGCATATGATGAGGTTATGCGATTCCCCCCTTTCAAACAATGATTCTTTGTGACAAGCTTCTTAAATTCCAAGTTAGAGCTATTACTAAAACCCCAGTCTCAGCTGATAGGCTCAAAGGGTTTGTGGGTCGGTGATGCTGCTGTCTCCCTCTCAGGGGACAGTGTCCAGGTCACTAAACCCTGCAGCTCTCTCCAAAGCCAGTGCTCCTACTGGCCAGCAAGCAAATAAGGGGATAGATAGGATTAAGGGCTCCAAAGAGGATTCCCAGCGCTCCCCAAAGGAGGATCAAGCCCTCTGGTCTAGTTTTGAAACAAAAATAAGTCTCAGTGAAGGAGAAAGTGCCCGTGTTAAGTGACGTGTAGCTCTTCTCAAGTTCTGTGCCACCAGGTTGACCTAGGGGCATTGTGGGGAGCGGGGCGCCCTCTTTTTCAGAGAACTGCGTGCAGTGGCTGCCTGAGTAACCACACGAGGGCGCGAACTCAAGCCTCTTCAAGCTGCATTTGGTGACTAAAGAATAAACATTGCCAAGCAGCTCTAGCGTTCCACATAGAAAGCACTTTGCACAGTTCCTTTTGCATACTCTTCCTAATTTTAGGCCCCAGAGGATTAAAACAATAAAAACTGCTTGCATCTTATTGCAATTTGTTCGACCGGAAACAAAACCACCACCCACACAGGACAATATAGCTTCATCTCCACAGTTCATTCCACTGCCCCACAGGGATAGTGGAGTGGGGGCGCCAAAGCTCAGTAAATGTGCCCCCGCAGCACACGTAATGACTCATTAACTCGGAGGGCTCTGGGGTCACTGTGGACAGCCTTCTATTAATAGGGGATAAAGCTCCCGCAGACATTAGCTGTAAAGCTCTCATGGCTTGCACAAAGTTAACTCCTCCCAGGCCAGAGGAAATCACGTCCTGCACAGACTATTGTGCGAATATTGTGGGTGTACACATACACCTCCCGGGTTTCAGAACCACTCCCCTGAAACATGCTAGACTCCAAACCCATCCCGAGTTTTGTTCCTGAAGGGGTGTCCCCTGGTGGGGAGCAGTGGCTGCCGGTGGCCTTTGGATGTCGGTCAGCTCAGCTTGGCCACGCAAACTGCCAAGGCCACAGCCGCCAGCAGCACAGCGCTGAAAACGGTGACAGCCAGGGCTTTGTTTGGATCGCAGGCCCCCGTGTTCTCGTCTATTGACACGCCGCCAACCGAGGAGGTCCCCGCGATGGCACCGACCAGGAGTTCCTCGCCGGCCGCCTGCCGGGCCTGTACAGTCCAGCGGGGTACGTTAACTTTCATCTCCATGTCGTCGATCATCTGGCGCACTTGGAGAATCTCGCGCTCCAGCTGGTGCAGGTCGGCCACGTCGAAGTCGCTGTCGGCCTCGTGCCGCAGGCTGCGGGTGCTCGAGGAGCGTGCCACCACACCCGTGTGCACAAGCGGCCGCCGCGGGGCGTGCAGCGGGAACGCAGCTCCCAGCGCCAGCGCCCGCTGCATGTCCACCTCCAGCAGCTCCAGGCAGCCGGCGAAGGCCACCCATAGACGCTCGAACTCGGTGCGCTCCTCCGCGCCCAGGCTTCGGTCGCGCAGCGCGGCTGTCAGCCCAGCGCGGGTGTCGGCCGCCAGCTCCTGCGCCTTGTGGCGTGCCTTTTGCAGCTCCTTGCGTAAGTGCTGCGAGTCTCCAGAGCCGCCGACGGTCAGCACTAGGTGGTGGTAGCCTGCGGTCGTCTTGTTGAGCGCGTCCAGCAGCGCCTTGCACTCCTCCCTCGCCATGGATGGCAGTGCGCTCTGCAACGTCCGGGTCTGTCTCCCCTTCTTGGTCTCACGTCCTCAGCGGGGCAGGATGCAGCCAGCCCGGATGACCGCCCCGAGCCTGGCAGCCCGTGCGCTCCTCATGGCCCAAGACTTTGCAGGGATGTGCGACGTGCGCTTCAACCAACTGGGTGCAGAAAGGGATCCCTGTTAACTGCCTCCAGCCCGCTTGTTCATCCTCCCTAGACGCGCTCTGCACGAGGTCTCTGCTCGGCACTCCCTTCCATGGTAGCCTCCTGTAAAGCTCCGGGCGCGGTCCCCATCCTTCTCCCGCGTCACCCCCAGGGTCAGCCTGCTGCCCAGCTGCGCACTCCGCCTCGGTGTCTAGCTTGAGCGACTGGTCAGATTTCCTAGGACCCGCCCACCTCCCTCGGTCCCCGGGCGCTTCCACCCCCTGGACCAACAGTAGGCGGGGCCCTGCGGGGAAGGTCACGTGTGGGTTCCCTATCTTTCCCTATTTGGTACCCTATTACAGCTCTGGAATATTACAGCTCAGGAATGTTAGCGTTCAGTAGATGCAAATCTTCCCTTTTCTGTAGATGGAGAAACTGGTCCAGGAAAAAAAAAAATTACAGGTAACACGGCGTCCATTCAAACGAGGGACTAGAACCTAGGACCCCTGATTCTCAGACCCTGCTGGCGACAGGGACTGTGAAACCATTCTTCAAAATGGGCAGTGAAGAGTGAGCCATGGGGTCAGGCAGTTCCCAGGGTCAGGATCTTTTTCGCGTCCCAGTTCCGACCCCTTTCCTCTACCAAGCTTGAACCCCACCCCTAGTATCCTATCTGCTCTGGTTCCCTCCTCCTTGCCTCCCTTTCCGGGCACGCGCAGTCGGCGGCTTTGGGCTGGGCCAACATGAATAGGAAGCGCCTGAGCTCCGCCCCTCGCTGGGCCGGAACCAGTGATTGCTCTGTGGAGATGTCACTCTGTGTAGCGACCGCCACTCATTGGGCCAGTCGGGGGCCCTGGGCGGGGTTTCGCCCAACGGCGGAGCACGGAGGGATGGACGGTGGAGCGCCCCAAGCGTGCTGGGGTAGTGGGCGCGGAGGTCTGAACCCAAGGACCAGGCGGAGCTGCCGCCGCTGCTTGGGGATGAGCCGGAGGTGAAGCTATGTAGCTTTTCTAAGTAAGTATCTCCGGCGCCTCCCCTCCCTTGGGATGACTGCGCCTTGGACACCGAGGCTGGGCCTCGGCCGGGGCGGGAGGGGGAGGGGCTCAGTCCTCGTTGCACCCGCGGGTCCGGGCGGTCCCCAGGTCCGCTGACCAGTCTCGCTGGCCCCCGAACACCGGGGCCCCTGCTGCTGGGCCGCCCTGCCATGCCTCTGGCCAGGCGCACTATGTTCACTTTCTCGCATCTAGAGGGCTTGAGGAACGATCCTCTGACCCTTGGGGCTCCGGTCCAGGGATCAGAAGAGCATGGACTTGGGGACAATGGGCAGGATCGTCCCACAATTTTCAGGTGGCATGCCAAGGGGAGGGCCTTTGCAGGAGAGGTTGTAATAGAGACTGGAGCCTCTAACCCCGCTGTTGTGTTGAGGGAAGTGAGGAGAAGACTGTGCATGCATTTGGCTTGATGTGGTCGGCATTCGCCTGAAGGCTCCCCTGCCCCTCTTAGATAGAGATTACTCCAGGAAAACTCGTAAGCACCCAGAAGTGCGAGGCTTGGGGTCTTTTCAGTTCTTTTCTTGGAAACCGTACTGCTTAGAGGCGCTCGAGGCAACCCGGGGCTCAAGACTTCCCTCAGGAGACATGAATCTGGTCTAGAGGGGTAGCCGGTGACCCGGCTTCCTTGAGAATTTGGGACAATACTGTAGCCATTTGGTTGCACGAGACAGGTAGAGGACTTTAAGGTCTCAAGATTTTCCACGTGGAGCCTGGTGTTTGGGTTGATCAGTAGGGCCACGCCCCTGGATTGGCCTTTATTTGAAGTCCATTCTTTTAACTAGTTAGTTTGGGGTTAATTCTCTTCAAGCTCACCCTTAGAGCCAGTGCCAGAGACTTTTAAAAGAGGAGTTTTCGAGCTTCCAGAAGGAAGCAAAGAGGGAAACAAACTCCCATCTCCCTGCCTTGCAGGGAGCAGAGGGAGATGGTGTTGACGGGAAAGGCCCTCAAGGCCAGAGGCAAAGTGGGGATTTATTAGTAAGGAGTGGAGAGGAAGTCATTGAAGACTACTGCATGGAAATTAGTAATGGAAAAAGGTCACTTTGCTGGGGGAGTGAGGTGGGTAGGTTTGAGTGAGATCAGGAGCGACCTTGGAAGGGAATGTGCCTGATGGTACAGGGACAGACACTTCTGACACAGCACCTAGTGGCAAGAATGTGGATGGACTCTGCAGTTGCATGGTCTTGGGTTCTCAGCCTATATATTTATTGAGCCATCTTCTGAGACTTGTCATCTGAATCCTGCCTGGCACCATGCTGGGAAAAGCAGCATTGCTGTCTGCAGAGGGCCTGTGGTCAAGGGCAGCTATTGACCAGTGTGCTCTCCAGAGGGCGGCTCCTGGCTCTTTGTTAGCACCTTCAGTTTTTAGTTATTTCAGTTACCCTGCTTTGTTAGTTGTCAGGGTCAGATTGGTGTCCGGTGACTTCGTTGTCTCATGGAGGAGCAGAGAAAGAGACTACATGATATTGGGGTTAGAAAGGACTCAGAGCTGCAGAGTTCATACTGAGACCCCTTCATCTGGCAACCCTGAGAAGTGGCCTTCAGCACTCCTGCCTTTCTGCTCTGGACACTGGCCAGGAAATTGGATACATGGGGTGACTCCAAGAGCGAGCAAGTTGTTGGAGTGGCTTTTCCAGGGACAGTTGGATTCCCCTGTGCTTTCCTTTTGTCTCTGTAGTTTCACCCCCTCCCATCCTTGACCCTTCTGACTCTTTTTGACCTTTCACATTCCAGCTCTGACATCTCATTTTGTTTTGAGTTTCCTTTTTGGCTGCTGCCTGGGCCCAGCCCACAGCCCACCCTGGATACAGACAATGGCTTTCCAGTCCTGGTTGTGGTCCACCTCCTCACTAGCATCTTAGGCTTCTTCTGACACCCTACCATTATTCTTTTCTAGTTTACACTGCCCTCCTTCAGAGAACTAGGTACAGGGAGGAGGAACATTGAGAAAGGCCCAGAAAGACTTAAGTGACTGCAGTACCACATGCTACATTCATCCTTGTAAAGGGCGCTCTGGTGCCTTTCTCAGCTTAGAGCTGCTCTGCCCACCCAAAGGGAGGTAATTGGAATCTACCCTCTGCTCTGAACGAGAAGTGTGATTTACAGCCTCTGAAAATGCGCTGGAAGGTCACCTTGTTGGTGGTTCCTACTCAACAGTAACACATTATTGTTATGGCTTGAAATTTGTCCTACCAAAATATATACTGTAGGCCTGACAGATTTATCTGGCCTGGAGTTATCTGTGAGTATAATCCTATTTGGAAAGAAGAGTTTCTTTGTGATAAGGCCATATCAGTGTAGGATATATCTTAAATCTAATAATTTTTGAAATATTTTTTAAAAAAGAGAGATGCTAGATGGAGATTGCTGGTGTTAGAGCAACTAAGATAAGAATTCTCCCCAAGAGCCTTTACCCTATAACTAGTGCCCTGAGTTTGGGTGGGCAATCTCCTCCTGTGTAATTAAGAGCTTCTGAAAACTCACTAGAGGGTCAACAATGAGTTGGCTCCTCTTGATGGTACACAACCACAAACTGGGAAAAGGGAGCTCTGGTGTCTTGGTAAAGAGTTGTGCTTCCAGCCCAAAGGCAAGTGGTTTGAATTCATCATCTGCTCTGAGGGAGAGAGATGAGCAGTCGCTCGCCTCCTGTGTGATGCACAGTTTCTGAAAACCTGCCGGAGGGTCAGCTGTGAGTTGGTTCTAATTCAGTGGCAAGGAGTTATTCGTTAAAACCATGAGAAGGGAGCTCTAGTGACCTAGTCTGCAGAGAGTTGTGTTGCTAACTCAGAGACTACACTTTTCTGGCAGTTCAAATTCACCAGTGGCTCCTCAGGATAAATATGAGCAACCTTCCCTGGAAACCCAGTGGAGGGTGAGCTGTAAGTTGAGTTGAAACTGAGAGAAGAAATTTCTTTTAAAGCCACCACTTGTGGTATCTGATACAATAATACTAGATAATTATGACACTTGTCAGCTTGCTTCTGTTTGTATCAAAATCAAGCAAACTGGAAAATGTTTGATTTTTGGACTATCTGGTATGTTTCTGGTTAGGGCACTGGGAGGGCAGGAGCAACTTACAACAGGTAAGATTTTGGCAGAGGTGCAGCCTTTCTGTTCTGGACTTTTGCCAAGCCAGGGTGCACATTGTCACCAGATGTCACCAGACTGCCAAGGCTCATCCGGTAGGCAGGACGGTTGATGACCACAAAACCACCAGTGTGCACATCACCTCCTGAAATGCCTAGTATTGGTCTGAGGCTTCTTCTGGGTCCCCTGTTCATGAAGTAAGTCCTGAGCAGGAGTATGTGGAATCTCCAGCTAGATTTTCTGTAAATTATCCCATCATCTGAACTCAGGCATTGATCAGATTTTTAAAAAAGATTTTATAAGAGGATTCTCTCTTTGTTTCCAGTTTTCTATGATTTTAGTTTTTGCATGCCATTCTGGAAATACAAAGCTAATTTACATAAACTTGATAAACCAAAACTGCCACTGCCACGGTGTTGATTCCAACTCCTGGTGACCCTCCAAACCACTGCTGAGGCTGTAACTCTTTATAGGAGGTGACGGCCCATCGTCTCCTGCAGAGTGGATGGAGGATTCAAACCGCCAACCTTTTCAGTTAACCCACGCATTACACCCTATGCCACCAAGACTCCTTATAAACTTGACAGGGTATTAAGTTATGTTTAAAGCAGGTTCCTTTGTATGAGAATTTAGCTTTGGTATTTAAAGCACTAAACTAATTGCGATTGTTGTTGTTGTTATGTGCCATTGAGTCATCTACTCATAGCGACCC